AGCTCGATTTGAAAAGTGGTGCGCGATAACATAGAGATCATATTATAGTTAGAAGTGAAGATAAAGTATGGTCCACGCCTTGACTATCAGAACTGTATCGAGATAACGATACCAGAACAGCTCTATTTGGAACTCATGCCCTGTTCTGTAATTGAATTGAATCATTTTTGAGTGTCTAATTATTGAGTTTTTTAAATTTGTTAAAATATTGTGTTTTGTTGTTGTTATTTGTTGTTGTTGGTGGTGGTGTTTTATTTATTGTTGTCGTTTGGTTTTTTGGGAGAAGGGTGATTATGTTGTTGGTTTTGTTTTGTTTTGTTTGTTTTGCTTTTGTTTTTGGGGTCTTTTTGTATTCACCACCAAGTCTTGTGGAAGACACCCATTTTACAATTCAATAAAAATAACCATTTAAAAAGAACACATTTTCCCAGTTTATTATCTTTATCAGGAATAAATTATGGATTTGGGCCGATTTCCTTTTTAATATTACTCGGTCTGTACCATCTTTTAATTTTAATTGAAAAAAACTTATTTCATGTAATTTTCAATTTTCCATTAGAGTATTTCTATGCCCCGGGTGGAGGAAAATGACACTGTAACCGAGCTCATCCTTTAAGATCAGCTCTTATCCATTTCATGTGTCAGTGTGGAAAAAAAGCGAAAAGAGGGGTGGGGAGGGGGTAGTCGTATACATGTGGAGATGCGTATGGTTAAAAGCGGATGGGTGAGTGGGTTCGCGAATGGGTGTGTTGTGTTTGCGAGCATGGGAGTGGGGATAGGTGGGTATGCAAAGGCGGGCATGTGTAAATATGAATGTGGTTTTTTGTTCGTGTCGGCTGCTCCATTAGGAATGGTTGTCTGTGTCAACGAAAACCTTTTGAAGGAACAGTATGGATGCTTGAACTTGAAGAAGCATTTCATTTCAAGAGAAGCAAAGTACCTTTTTCGCTGCCTTCCAAATTCCTGTTCAATATAGAATAGACTTTCAAAGGCGCTATGTGGGAATTTCCGTTTCCTTTCGCTGAAACTGAAAGAATCTCGAGGAAATCCGTGGGGAAAAAAACACGAGCTTGCAAGATCCGTTCAGCGCAATATGATGTCAAAACCCTCCATACAACCCAAGACGATGCAACTTCCCGATTGCTCTCCCAAAAATATTGAGAATCAAGACCATGCCACCATTGTAAGGTGATCTGTCTCGTCTGAGAGGGAGTTTGAGCCAATATCAGAATCTACAGCATGTTCAATTTAAAAGAAAATCATGTTTTTTTTTGCAGATACCTTTTGATTGCCAGCACCATTACCAAACGTTAACCAGTTATAGTTTTGTTGCAATTTGTTTTAATTCACCATCATCACCATGTGCCAACTCTGCGAAAGATATGGGTGATCATGATTCTCCATTCATTCCTTTGCCTGGATGCTCCTTGAAGAAAAAAACCCGGTACATCAACCTGATCTCCCCCCGTACCCGATCTGTTTATAACCCATCTGTTTAGGCTCTCCGAGTACGTTACTCTTGGTCTACCTCTTCCTCGTTTGCCTTCAGTTTTGCCATTGAGAGCTGTATGTCCAAAGCCTGTATGCCTGTTCAAGTGTCCCAGACACTACATTTTGTCTTTTTCTAATTGCTGTTATCAACGAGCAGCCCATGTGGACTTCTTTGAGTACTATCTCGATTTCTTTACCTTCCAAGATATTCTCAGCACTCTCCTAAGAAACCACATTTCTAGTGTTCCTATTTTATTTTCATTATCTTTAGGGGTTGTCTAACATTCATAGCCGAACAGAAGGGTTGGCCATTCAGGACATTTCAGGACTTTTCAATTTAGTAGTCATTGAGATGTTTCTATTTTTCAGGATTGGGCTCGTTTTATTTCCGTGAAACATTTGGTATCACATGTAATTATACATCTTAGACATTTAAACTGCTGAACTTGTTTGGTCTTTTCGCCTTTGCCAAAGAGATAAAAAGACTTTACAGCTTTTTATATTGCCATGCATTCTAATTTCTTCACATTCAACAATAACCCTATGCGTTTACTTTCCATTACAACAGTATCTAAAAGCGGTTGAAGGTCCTTTTCGGAATCTGCTATAATCGGCGTATATAATGTTTTAAATATTTTTGCCATTCACTTTGAAGCCTGGACATTCTTCGATGTTTCTAAGAATTGTTTCAATGTACATACTAGAGAGGTCTGGTGACAAAACACTTCATTGCCTCACTCCTCTTCCAATCTGCTTATATTCGCTGTATTCTCCGTCAGTTCTTTCAGCAGCGTTGTAACCCCAGTATAAATTCTTGATATTTTAAATAGCTCGCCACTCTTAACTTACGACAGCCTTGCAATGATTTATGAACCATAAATACAGATCTTTGTGTATTTCAATGTTAATTATGTAAGTAAATTGTTCTGGCCAGAGTACTAATAAGCAATATTTTCTCTTTGTTTTTGTTGAAAAATAATCTCGACTAATAAATGCGATGACTTACAGTGTGACTCGTGTTGTGTCGTCATACATGCCTTTCAAAGGTACAAAAAGTTGTTTTTTTCTTTCTCTCTCTATGCTGCTCCCTGCCAGAGCACAATTTTTCGGTTTTTGGAAATTCCCAATTATCACTTATTCATAACGTAATGTTGCTTGTTTGAACAAAAGATCGTTATGTAAGATCTACATTTGAACCAAAGAAAGTAGAATAAAAATTATAATGAAATATGTTCCAGAATTGCAAAGTAAAATATTTTATTTTCAACCTCAGATGGACGCAAAGTTTTTAAAAAGTGCCCTTTCATAGGAACCTATAACAATTGGGAGGAGGGGGGGGGGGATACTACTCGATCCAAATGACAAAATTTAATGAGGATTGTCATACGTTTATATAAAAAATTTCTGGGTTCAAAATAAATAGAAACAAATATTATTTAAAGTTTTAAAAAAAGAAAAAAAACTATGATTTTTTTGTGTTGGAAAAGCTTCCTTCCTCTTCAAGTTCAAATGTTAATTCTGAAACAGACAATTGTGTGTGTGTGGGGGGGGGGGGGGGGCTCTTGTGGTCTAGAGGTAAAGGTGCTTGCCTCTCGTCCAATAGGTCCCGGGTTCGAATCCGGATAGCGACGGACAATTTTCTTCTCTTAAAATTGTGTCCTTTCACATCCTTTCCTGCTCTTAACAATGTTCTGTCGTCTCCGCTTTCTTCCCACCACCCCTTCATCCATGATCTTCTGAAAGGAAAGATCAACGCCTACCCTTTTCGAACAAGGACAAGGGCGAAAAATCTCGGAGGTCCCGTGTGTAAGTTGCGCACGTTAAAGATTCCTTGGTGGTCCTAAACCGAGAAGAGTAGGCTTCGGCGGCCACCCGAGCAAAATTCAAACTTCCTACCAACTGGTAATATTTGATGTGTCCCGCGCTCTTTATATGACTTTATGCAGATGCGAGCGCCGAAAAAACACTCCCTCCCCCCCCCCCCCCCCCCCAAAAAAAGACAATTGTGTTCATGTCTAGCCACTCATTTCTCTGATCGGATGCTCTTCGGAAGAATGAAGAAAAAAAGTGAACAACATTAAAGTGGTTCTCCCGTTTTTAGCCCACTTTATAATCGCACTCTATCGCAAAGTCAGTGGAAATTACTGCTGTAATGTCCCTATGAAAACGATTATGGAAAGCAAATTTAATTACGAAGATAACAGCTTTAAGGGTGATCATGATTAAGCTCTTAACTCTTTGCTCAGTTGGGACAGCCCTGGGCACTTTCTCTCGGTGTAAATCTGAAGGCAAACGAGAAAGGGCTAAACACAGAGCAACATACCTGGAAAGTATGAACAAATGAGTGATGGGGGAAAAACCATGGCAACATTATGTCTACTGTGTGATCAGAGCAAAGAAATGAATGGTGAACCCTGGTCGCCAATATCTGTATGCAGTTAAGACACTTGATGATGTGCTGTAATCAGAACGGTAGTTAATTTTGGAAGAGAGGACTTTTTGACAGAGTGCGATTATGAAATGGGCTAAAAAAACGGGGTTTCCCCCTAAAAAGCAACAGTCTTATCGAGGTGTTTTCCCATCCCCCATCTGTTCAAAAACTTGTAGTAATCTGTTTTTATTCTAACGTTGCCTCTTTTGCTTTCTAATTATTATCGTCCACGTGACATCAGGATACTCAGGGTCTTTGCGTTGATTCAAGTGTCAGTATCCTGCTAGTATGTAACTGTGTTTGTTTGGTCCTGGTTGTTTTGCATCAGTAACCATCCAAAGCAAACTTTTAATTTCATAACAGCTTTTTATTTTATTTTCTTTCTGTTCCATGAAATTCACAACTGTCTCCTAAAAGAAACACATTACTTGTCACCTTTAGTTTGTTTTCACTATCTTTGGTATTTGTCCAGACAACGGTACAGAAGGGTTGAACACACAAGGCATTTTAAAACCCTTGTTTTCGTTGTCATTGGGATGTTTCCACCTTCAAGGATTGGGAAATATCCTATAGTGCAGTCAAAAATTCGTGGCGTACCTTATCTTCAAATACCTCTTTAACGGGTGAATCAATGTCATCCACACTTCGCTCAGCGAATATATATTTGGCCTATGTCACAGCTCAAAAATGATACTTTTTAGTGGCAAAACTTGCTGCAAAAAATTAATTTTATTGCGAACATATTTTTTGCTCTAGATTAAATGTTCTCAAAACATGAATTCAATAAAGATAGCGTCGACGCTCAGATGACCTTATGCAGTTGCCAACGCCGTAAAACCTCTACTAAAACAAAAGATAGCGTCGGGATTAGAAAATAATGAAAGACTTGCTTTGAAAAGCGATATTACACCAGCTGTTAACTTTTTTAAATCTCTAGAAACCATCCACTTCGATTTTTTATTAGTATTTATGAAGGAATCTTTTAGAATAGGGCTCACATGTGTTTGCAAAAATATTGATCTGCTAAGACAAACTAATACAAGCCATTGTGCAAAAGCTGGAGAGTATATGTTCAATAATTTAGGAAATATTTTACAATAAGTTGCGCTACGAATTTTTGACCACACTATAATATAATACAGTTTCTACTATAATATAGTACAAAAAAATTCCTTATGCAATCATGACCTGGTGTTTCCTCTACTCTGTAAGAACTGTCCTTAAATCCCGACTTTGTTTTTCTTCAAAAAAAACTTTTGATACGGGTTTTATCAGACACAAGAACCTTGTAAGAAAAGGCAGTCATCAATAGAGAAACCGCTGAGGGTGGTTGGCGGGTGCTCTGATGTGGTTTGCTTCTTCTTTCCTATGAAACATCTATCGTTCTTATCCCCCTTCTTCTTTTTTCTGTTTGTTACTCTCTTGTAACACCTCTAATCTTCTGGCGCTCAATATGACCTTATTCCGTTGCGAGCGCCCCTAAACCTCTATTAAAACTAAAGTAAAGTAAAAGTAACCGCTTGAATTAGGAATTCCTGTACTACTAGGACAAACAAGTGATATAAGTGTGTTTTGTGTGTGCTTTGTGTGCTTTGTGTGTGTGTGTGTGTGTGTGTGTGTGTGTGTGTGTGTGTGTGTGTGTGTGTGTGTGTGTGTGTGTGTAT